GTGCAATGGCCAATGGCAGTCCAAATGTTGAGATTTCCGCTGAAATTTAAAATTGTATTAGAAATGCATGTACATGTACGGAATGCAGGATATTGTAATCATGCAACAAAGTAAAATACGATGGACAGAGCATGTTACTTGTCTTGTCGACAGTCTTCTCTACCCTGTTCCCAAATTTTGCCCGTAAAACAATATCTGAGATCCTCTCCACTTCTACTATAAGGGCATGTGGAGGTAAAAAATATTTCAGTCGTTCCCTTAGTCCGGGTATCCGCTGCAAAAACCAAGAGCACACTTCCTCATCCTTTCCACTCATCATCCCTCCCCTCCAAATATACGTGACCTAACCAATCGACAAAGGATCTATACCAGGTAGCCATTAAATCTACCTATCCCAGCTCCCCTCCTCTGCCTCGAACGAAACCCGCAGCACACTGCCCTTTCTCCTCCCCTCCCCTCAGGTTCCACTTGCCACATTCGAACTCCCGCCATTCGCGTAAGGTAGTTCTACCTTACGCCATCACCAGAAAAAACTTTCCGTAAATCGTGTATGATGCCAGCCGAGTCGAGTTTTAATAATTGCCCATGTACACTGATCAAGCAGTAGATACTAACTGGAGGTATGCAGCTCAGCGTCGAAAACCAAATCCTAGCATAGTTTCGCCGTATTCTGACGATATACCTAACATAGACTACCCATACCGAATGACCGATATTCCTGGTCTTTTCAATAATTACTGAACCAAACTGAAACACTACTTACTTCTGGTTGGCTTATTATTGTTGTTACTGTTGTTAGTGTCGTTATTGCGCATTCGCCTGATAAATCTCTGTACCGCCCAGCTTTTCGCATTACTACCAGCAGTTGCATCATTGCCATCAGCTACAGCAGCATCAATCCGAACACCAGCACCCGCATGAGTCTCGATCATCGCCGATAGCTTCAGAAATGCCAATTTTCTCATACGCTGCTGAAATAGAAAACACAACATTTTTGCTTGTTGGCTAAAACAACTATAGTCATTTTGACCAGTAACATGTCCAAAATCCTCAACTCATCCAGTCTGGTAGCGCAGTGTAGACTTACTGAATCTCAAACAGAAAAAAGGCCCAATTCCTTGCTTTGATTTTAGAGCTCAGCCAGTCTTGGCAACTGGATTTTACACTCCGCTTAGCAAAATCTCGCACTTCTTGCCAAAGATTTTCAAATATTTTCATAACTTAGGTGAGCGATTTTCCTGGATTATGGCTAAATTAAAGAGGAAAGAGAGAGAGAGAGGGAGAGAGAGAGTATAAAAAAAGACCTGTTTTAAATAAAAAACCCCAAATCCGTGATCCCATTTCGATTTTCATATTCTGAGCCGACAACAACTGTCTCCGAAGGAGGGAGTGTGTCGGTAAGCACGTTGTCTAAGGCTGGCTATGAAACCGCTAAAAGTATTTTCTCCTCTAAGCGCTCGCCAGGAAAAATGGTAACAAATTTAATTTAAATCCTAAAGGATTTTTTTTAAGCGATGTCCTTAAAGCACGGATACTTGAACTGGTGAAAAAAGAAACATGATACTACTGACCTTTGCACTGACCATCACATAGTTGCTAGCAAAGAAATAACATAGGATAAAAAACAGTGGATATTTGAATAAGTTACATACCATTTCGGCGACACTCAGAGCATCCACGCAGTGCGGTAAATCTGCGTCGCTAACAAAAGTCTCAGCCTGATCAGCGCGAAATGACACAGGATTTGAGCACGGCGACATGTGCTTGGTTTTGATTTCGCGCACTTGAACTGTTGATAGCAAGCATGTTGGAAGCACTGAGCAACGTTGACGCTGAGTGGTCGGCCCACTGCAACACAGAAATTTTGTTTGAAAAAAAATCACTTTAAGCAATCGCTAAAAAAGCAAGAAATTGGATTCACTGATTAAGAATTAGCAGCTAAATTCTAATTCTTCCTCAACTCCATTTCTCTGTTTCTATTTTGGTTCCAGTTTTAATTGCAATTTCTAATCTGACTGAAAAATGAGAGTTAGCAAAAACTGTGAAGTTTCATACCAAATTTCGTTTCATAAGACCTAAATTTCGCCAAAATGGTTGCCAAGTCACTTCAGATTCAGTGGATATAGTTATGACATTCACTCCTGCGAGACATCGTAGAACACCAGTTATAAAAAGCATAAAAGATAGGAGAATAATGTAATAGTTTTGACCAATATAGTAGTTTAACAGTTTGACCGGTATGATCATAGGACAACACGAAATGAGTTGCAGCCGCACGCTGATCCACAGACATGAGAGAAGAAAACCCAGGCTGGAACGCACCAGGCGAGCCGGTGCGACCATGCGTTTTTGCATCAAAACTTTGAGGT